TTATTTGAAAAGAATACGAGCTGAGTTTCTTGTCAGTTCTTCTCATCTCGATATCATTCCGAACTGACGTTAGATTTGACGTATCATAAGAGTCTGTAATAGATCTATATGAATAAAGATATTTTGAATTTGAATAATACTATTATGCATTATATACAATGTTCATACAATGTTCTAACATTATGCATACAATGTTCTTGTAAAGCCAAAGTCCATACCAGATGGAGGCAAATTGTGAGGAGTTGAGTTGAGAACTGTCTCCAAAGAGGACAATGAAGAGATACCATCTTGGAAGGATACCACTCTGTCAAGAGTGTACGATTAAAAAAGAAGAATTATGCAGTGAAATAATTAATATGACAATATATGTATATTTTCTCTTCTCTTTAATCTCAAATTACGCCGACGTCAAATAAATCGGATAAGACACAGATGATGTTCTCTTTAATCTCTATATAATAATAATATAAATAATAATAAGTTGTTTTTTTTTTTATTTTATCTTTATGGCATCGGTACGGCACAAAAGAACTACTAAATTGAGCTATAATAATATCTCAGGATATGACACATCGAACCTGCTACCGTCAAGAAGTAAGTCCTACTACTACAGCACTGCTAGAGTATATACAATAAAAAAGTAAAAGATGTATCAAGAAATGGATACATATAAATATAATTGAAGTGTCTGTTTGTATGTTCTTTTATTTTAGAAAAATTAAGTTAATCCACGTGGACGAAGCTAGTAAAAACTAAATTTCGTTCTCCGTCTATGGAATTGAAAACTTTTTTCTGCAACCTCAGAGAGAGTCCCGAGTCGCGTGTACAGCTGGTAAAAAATAAGATTTCATTCTCCGTATAATCTCCGGAATTGAAAACTTTTTTCTGCAACCTCAGAGAGTCACAAAGCAATTTACGGTTGGCAAACTCATTTGCAGGAACACAAACGTATAACTGATTGTTTAATGCTATGGCACACATAAACACTTAGTTACAGCGAATACTAAAGGAAAGATAAAAGCCATTCATTACCAGATATGAGGAAATCTCGACGCGTATTACCACCTTCATGCAGCGCGTAAATGGGAAAATGTACCATAATAGAATACATTACGGTTTGAAGTAGCTTTACACAGTATTTTCAGCCTCGATGGTCTAGCGGTTTAGCACGCCGGTTTACTTTCGATGGTCGCGGGTTCGATTCCTCGCACGGTACAAACATTTGTATTCATGAGTGTGATTGTTTGTATCGGTCTGGAAGTATTCTATGTATATATGTATGTACTTACGAAATAACCAAATATCTATGTATTTGTATCAGTTATCTAGTATCCATAACACAAGCTTTAGCTAGCTTAACTTGGGTCTAGATGGCGCTGTGTGCAATTCAGAATTCAGAGATTATTATTATATTAATACAGTTTTTAATAATAGATATAGTGATTCAAGAGGAAGGTTTATATGTTTAATACAAGAGGAAGGTATATACCCAAGCGAAGCCGGGGCAGGTAGCTAGTCATCACTACATAGTATAAAATAAAGTCGTTGTCGTTGTCTGTCTCTGTTTATGCTTAAAATTTTAAAACTACACAACAGATTTTAAAGCGATTTTTTTAAATAGGTAGAGTTATTGTAACGAAGGTGTTGCCGATGGCAACCTTTTTGATAGTTTTTATGTTTTTTATATATATTTGAATTTTATATTTTGACGTTCTGTTTTTATATACTATTTGTTTTCTTATGCCATATTGTCTTTATATTTTTGCTAGCGAGCTGATTACAGCTATTTTACCTCACCTAAGAACGTGTCTCATTTTTAACCAGTCCTTAATACAGTCCATCCTACCTTCCGTAACAGAAGGTTTATATATATATATATAATATATGTACACCCATGCGAAGCCGCGGCAGTAAACTCCCTTCATAAATCTCTTCAGTCGGTCATCGTCAAGGCTGCCAGTCATTTTTGAGAGTGCCATATTTTGCTCCCTGGTATCCGCTAGAGAAGCCAGCATAATATCGACAGATCTTGATGAAAGGTGCCTGTTTAGTAATGTCGGATAATTTTCACGGCTAGGAGGTTTGAAATAGCTAGTTAAATACAAAGTAAAGATTTTGTAGATTGTTAACAATTATGTTAAACTCAATGCCGTAATGGCAGGCACATTGTTTTGTAAATGGAGACCCTAATTAGTAATTTGGAGGGCTAATTTTGTAAATAAACAAAGTTAGGTTAATAAGGTTTCGGGGCTCTGTTTGTCCTTAAATATTTGTTAGTTTTCAACAGATTTTAAATATGAAAATATGATGACCTTATCACGACTATAGTATTTTTCAATATTAATAATAGACGGCTTTTGTGGTTTCGCTTCACTTTCGATGGTCGCGGGTTCGATGCATAACAAAATCATGTAAACATTTGTACTCATTACTTGTTTGTTTGGGTGATTATTTGAAATAAAATTAGAATGTAAAAATTTTACGTTCATAAGCGGCTAAAATGTCCTACATGAGTAAATGATTTTTGAATTTGAATTTGATTTCTTGGTGTTCCAAAATGTTTGTTAGTTCTCAACTGATTTTAAATATGAAGACCTTTCCAATACTACGGCGTTTGACGACGGTGATCTAGCGGTTTTGTACACTGCTTTACTCCCAATGGTTGTGGATTCGATTCATAAATAAACACGTTTGTAGTCATGAGTAATAAGTATGATTGTTTGTATGTTATTTCATAAAACTGTATCTGAGTACATCATTGAAATAGAAATAATCTTTATTCAAATAAACTCATTAAAAGCTATTTTGAATAATCATATTTTGATTCTACCACTCATTCGGAATGCAGATTCATCACAAGAAGAATGAGCAAGAAACTTGTGTGTTGCTCTTTTGAATAGATGTTTATTTTTAATAATAATTACAGTATAACAAGTAAGAGGCAAGCGATAATCAACATAGAAATCGCTACGCACTCATTATTAGTGTAATCAGATAATATTGTCAGTGCTATGGATTTTAAGTTTTTCTATAAAAACATTATTGTCGTTAACGACGCGGTAGTTTATTAAAAAATAATGTAATTAAATATTATATACTGTAGACTTATTTAAGACGTGCGAAGGCTTGAGAATTCTTAGAGGAGGGGAGAAGTACCCTCAAATATATATTTTTATTATTATGTAAGCTTTTTTTTTGCAAAGGAAGTGTTTTATATGACATTTGAATCTTTTTCAGGTAGATTTATAACAATCAGTTGGTCTGTCAAGTAAGTGTGATGCAGACCAAGTTTTGTGAGACAGCTAGTAAATAATATAAAATAGATTGTTACGAATAATTATACAAGGACTAAACGAGTAACAATTATTAAATCAACGCCTCAGTAATGTCTGTACCATTTCTCACCAAACGTTCTAAATAAAGCACCCTCGAAGGAACTGCGAGCTCTCGTCAAACTCATTACTGCCCTCTCAAGATGTTGGTAAAGTGGATGTACGTATTCACAACACGAACGTGTGAATACTTCAGCATACTGTTTTGTTTGTCGTTTGAAGTTTATGTAAGAGCCCTTACTAACAAAGTCGATTAAGAAAAATTTTTTTTTTGTGAATTATATATACATACGAGTTTATACGTATATTAGAGATGAACCTGATTGCTGTCTGTATGTAGACGATTATTACCGTCTACATACAGACAGCAATCAGGTTCATCTCTAATATACGTAATCAGGTAAATTGTTATTGCAAGTAATAGAACTAAAAATGATTATTGTTACAATTTTTATCTGTCTCTAGACAGATAACGAAAGCTATAAAATCTGATAAAAGCTAATTGGCTGATCGCAGATAGATAAGGAAAAAGAAAAAAAGACTTTTTGTGACAGATAAACGGGCAGACAACGTTTGTTAATTCTAATCTTAAAAACCGAGTAACCGATTAAATGATTGAGATATTTTGGCTACACGTTTGCAAAATCTAAATCCTAAAAACGACGTAACTGATTTGGGTGCTGTTGTCATTGTGACTGGAGCGGGAACACAACTACTATTTTAATTAATTATCAATTAATAGTAAAAATGTGTATTTTTCCCTCACAGCGAACAAGAAATTAACAAGAAGTCAAAAGTGACATATAAAAAAAATAGATATAAATAGATAATTTTTGAGTACGTCATATCAACATTTCAAGATTTATAACATGTGAAGACAATTATTTAAAAAAAGAAATAACAACACACTACTGAAGACAATGGCTGTATGGGCTGAATCCTTTTGCCTTTCCCTGAAAAGGAAGAAACCGAACCAAAAAAAAAAAAATATATATATATATATATAAAGTTTATAAAAAGAATAGTAGACAAGCTGCCAGCAACATTCATTTTCTGTTTGTTTTATTCAGATTGGTTTACGAATACAATATTATCAACTAGGTATTAGTTTTGGTACGAAATTATCAACTTAGCTAAGTTATTCAATAATTTAATTTAAAAATAAAAAATCTATGTCCCATTCATTTCTTTTATATTTCGGCGAATGTGCTCAGGAACTCCATAACCTCATTCCTCCAGCACCGTTCCACCACCATACAACAAGACGTAGAGAGCGGTTCCACCCATACACTGTAGACATCCCAGCTGCTCGTACCAACCGATTTGCGTCATCTTTCCTTATGCGAGCAGCTAAGGAGTGGAACTCTCTCCCAGCGTCTACATATGTTTCCAGCTTCATACAACAATAGGTCTTTCAAATCAAGAGTTAATAGGCACTACTTGAGCTTGCGTGTAATAGCTTAGACCACATAATCACTTAACTTCAGGTGAGATTGCGGTCAGACGCGCTAAAATTTAGAAATAAAAAAATTAATGGTTCGCTGTTTTGGATTGACTGGAAGAGATCTCTACCAGAGATAGCTAAGTACCTTATAAACCTCAATTAAACTATTTAAAAGTGCAACAAAAAGTATTAATTTATTTACTAATATTAATTATTATTTTCAGGTACATCACTTCCACGAAGAGTTGAAATTGGGTGAGTGCAAACTATAAATTAATAATCATTAATCAGATTAAATTTAAAAAAGATATAAGTCAAAGGAAAATACAATTTGTAGGTCTGTGGCGTAGGTATCATTAGTCAAATACTTCGAAGGGTCTATAGTAACATTGTTACGTGACCAAACATTTGCTCTCTATTTCTGTTCACAAGATGACACATACATAATGAAACGGAAAGGCCATATTTGCTAACAATTTAATGAGTTGTTCCAAAACAAAACAGGGCTCGTTTTTGTTTACAATGGCAGTAGCAATTACAGTGGGAAATTTTGTTCTCGTACTACTTTTCTGAATCATATTATTACATCAACATATGTGTATAATAAAAATATAAGTTATCGCTGTCTGTATATTTGTTAAAATGAGGACTTTTAATAACATAATAATAAACAAAACAGTAATTCTTAGAATTATTTTGTATCTATAATTGCTATACTCTATGGTTAACTGGGAGAAAATGCCTTAATCTGTTAAGTGCGCTATGTGCATCTTTGTTTTGTGTATTTGTGCATTAAAGTTTAAATCTATACATATAAATAAAATTGGAGTGTCTATTTGTAATATTGAAATAACCGTTTTTTACTACATGCACATGAATATATCGTCATAGTCGTATAATACTGACGGATCTGACTATTAGCGGTACATATACCAAAATAACATTTTTTACAATTTTTGCCTGTCTGTCTGTCGGTCTGTTTGTTCCGGCTAATCTTTGAAAAGGCTGGACCGATTTTGACGGAACTTTTTTGGCAGGTAGCTGATGCAATAAGGAGTAAATTAGGCTACGTTGATTTAAAAAATAATCTTTTATTTTAGAAAAATAAAATTAAATTCCACGCGGACGAAGTCGTGTAAATAAAATATATATCCACTACGATATTACATACGTACCTAAATTTGAAAAATTGACAATACTAGTTCTGAATTCCGGAAAATGTTGGCAAGTGGTACATGACTGCAGGTTGGCTGGAGTCCAGCACGGAGCCCTTGTACGCAATATTCGCCTGTTATCTACAGAAAGTGTGGGGATTATTAATGTTTTAGTATTTGTAGGTGCTTCCAAATATATGACGGCCTCGGTGGTTTAGCTGTTTAGCTTCGCTTTATTTCCAATGGTCGCGGGTTCGATTCCTCGCTCGGTACAAACATTGTTTGCATAGGTCTGGGTCTGGTCTATATATATTAAATTTAAATTCTAATTCAAAACATCTTTATTCATGTAGGTCTATTACAGACTGTTATGATATGTCAAATCTACATCAGTTCGGAATGATTTGGAGATGAGAAGAACTGACAATAAACTCAGCTCGTATTCTTTTCAAATACATGTTGTACATGTTTAATAATAGCAGAATAGAGTGATTGCCAGAATATGCTATTACAAAAGCAAATGGTCTAATCAGTGTTCGTAACCCGACCAGTAGTATTAAATATGTATGTATTTACGCCCTCTTATTTGCGCATCTTACCTTATACCTCTGAAATCTCACCCTTCATGTAACTCACCTTTATGTAATACACTTTACAGTAAACACAATGTAATGAAAACTGTGAAATTAGTAGTAGTGTAAGATTTATATAATTGTAGATGCATATTGGTAAATGTAACTGGCTCCTAATAAAGATAGGTGACACTGCATGTTGTCAACTCACACGGCCGGCCAGCGGTGGTTCTGGGCCAGACGGATAAGGTCTGCCTCGGTGCCACTGTTAGGCAAATTGTAACATCTCGGATGGAGTTGTACAAAAGTGGAAATTAAAGAAATATAATAATATTAAGTAAATTAAAAAAGGCACGGACGAATATGCCTGTGGAAAATTGTATTTGAAAATAAAAAAAATAAAAAAATCTCACACTTCACGAAACACATCTCATTAATAAAAAATCTTAACGTAGTATACATATGTACAAGTCTGTAAGTCTACCAAATAAACTTACTAATGTATAATAAATAGTACATTTATTTCACCTGTATACTCACTACTTATATACTACAACTAGCTTTTGCTCGCGGCTTCGCTCGCGTTGATTTATCGCCTCAGGGGTGAAATTTATCAAAATCCTTTCTTAGGAGATGCCTACGTCATAGTAGCTTTGTGCATGCAAAGTCTCAGCCTAGGTTTAAAATTGACAAAGTTTCATATAAATTTTCATCCCCTATTTTATCCCTTTGGGGGTATAATTAATCAAAATCCTTTCTTAGCGGATGCCTACGTAATAACATCTACCTGCTTGCCAAATTTCAGCCCGATCCGTCCAGTGATTTGGGCTGTGCGTTGATAGATCACTACGTCAGTCACCTTTGAGTTATGTATATTTAGATAAACAATATATTATATAGAGACACCTCATCACATCATATATAATGCTAAAGTGGTGAGGTGATAACTACCGCGCTACAGTTTTTATTATTATTATGAATATTTTATGTACTATCCTATATATACTATGTCACAAAGTCGAATGAAGCCATTTTAGTGCTATATATATTTTAATTTGTTTTTATTTATTATATATACGTACCTACTAACTGTGGCCGTGGTTTCACCCGCGTAAATTTTAATATAAATTATAGCCTATATGTTATTCTGATGAATAAGCTATATTACTGTAAAGTTTCCTCAAAATCCGTTGAGTAGTTTTTGCGTGAAAGAGTAACAAACATGCATACTCAGAAACTTTCGCGTTTAAAATATGATTAAGATTATGATATATTATATATAAATATAGCAAAATAAATATATATATATATATTTATTTTGCTTCGGGGGTAAAATATGTAAGTGAGATAGATATGTAACCGCGCAGATTACTCTGTAAAGTCAACCTCTAAATATATATATATGTGTTCTGTAAAAAAAATTGAAACAGTTTTAAACGACGAAATCGTAAATCCTTTCGCGATATGCCAAAAGTATTTTCCAACCCCAGCGAGGGTGCATTCTAATAAGTTTTATTATACATTTATATTAACAGTTATATATTTATATCGATTTTGTTCAGTTCCATTTAAGCACGAAACAAATTTATAGTAACTACGTATATAATAGTATTTTTAACTATTTTAATGCTGTTCATTAATGAAGCTGTAAAGCTACTACAAGTAGCTTTACAGCTTCATTAATGAAATAATGGTTCATAACAATGATATCCTGATTTTGCTTTCAGAGTATCTCCCAAGTAAAATTAGATTGGCTATCATCATATCATGATATTTGTGATAGTGATATCATGACATCTAGTATTTTATTGTAGACTAAATTCATTTTGTATACTACTAGCTACTTGCCTCGGCTTCGCCCGGGTGTACGTGTATTATACATATAAACCTTCCTCTTGAATATCTATTAAAAAAATCCGGTTCAAAATCCGTTTCGTAGTTTTAAAGATTTAAGCGTATATAGGGACGGACAGACAGCGACAGCGACTTTGTACTATGTAATGATTAGCAGTGGTCAGTGTCCATTGTTAGTGCAACCTCGTTGAAACGTCAAGAGACGTAAATACCTTTAGATTATTTATAAAATTCTTGTCATAATATTACCCTACTCCTACCAAACGGCTTGACAGATTTTTACGAAGTTTTATCATATTCAGTAGATCTGAGAATCGGCTACTATCTATTTTCCAGACTCCTGAGTGGTAACGGTTATCCACTAACATTTTTTTTATGTTTCGGACAAATTTTTTTTTATCATTAGGTATTAAAATTCAGACAATCCTACATTTTCACTCTTCTATCACCAACCCCTATTTTTTAATAGCGATTTTAATTTATAAAGCACTACAACGTTTGCGGGGTAAGCTAATGTACCATAAATTTATTCGTCTTTTATAAGACACTAGCTACGCCCGCGACTTCGTCCGCGTAAAATGGCGATACTTCCATAGAACCTTTCATATTCCCTTTCAACCCCTTGCAACCCTTTTTTCACATTAAAAAGTAGCCTATGTCCTTTGTCAGGGTCTAGACTATCTGTGTACCAAATTTCATTTAAATCGGTTCAAAGGTTTAGGCGTGAAAGCTAGACAGACAGGTAGACAGAGTTACTTTCGCATTTAAGCTACTATACCATATATTTATTCGTGTGAAGACCCGGTTAACAATATAAATAATGTACATTAAGCATGAAAATTGACAAATAAGTTCATTTTATACTCATGAATTTCATTATGCTATAGCGTATTTCTATAAGATGTGTATTGGTCGCTTTGTTATCGACTGTACACCCAATCACGTGAGTGCCATCCTATGTATTTGAGATAAGAAAGATACATTATAAGAGTCTATGCTTGTACAAGCGTTTATATAGATATTTAAACGGTAATGTAATATAACTTATGATAATATATTCATATATTCCTACATAAATATTAAGTATAGGATGAGATAGAAATGATAGATGTAAGTATATCAATGGCTCGTGTGAATCGATCATATAAGATCCTATGTTCATAAAATCGGTAATATTTTTAATAGAGGGGCTTTGTTATTGTTGGGAAGTCACATTCATTGTTTAATTTTCATTAAAGAATGTTATAAATTCATTTAACAATGTTTCTACAAAGTTGAAAATAAGGGATGAAAACCAAACTGTAATAAGAGATGCATATATGGGACGTGATGATTGCGGGGGAAGAAATTACAGATTTTGCTCAGCCTCCTGAATTTATCTATACATATAAATAAAATTGGAATGTCTGTTTGTAATATTAATATTATGTTATCTGTGGTAATATTGAAATAACCGTTTTTTACTACATGCGTATGAATATATGTCTGAAATGGCTGGACCGATTTTGACGAGACTTTTTTTGGCAGGTAACTGATGTAATAAGGAGTAGGTTAGGCTACTTTTATTTTAGAAAAATTCGCTTATTTCAGAAAACTAAAGTTAAATTCCACGCGGATGTGGTCGCGGGAACAGTTAGTTAATAATATGATCTGAATTACAATTTTGGTGAGTGAA